CAACACTACTAGCAACCCACAGGTACCGATCTGAGGTGTTCAGACAAAGATCGGATACAAGAGATGAACTAGGGTTTGAGAGGAGATGGTGCTGGGGAAGATGTTGATGGAGATTGACCCCCACCCGATGAGAGGATCGATGGTGATGACGATGGTGACAATTTCCCCCTTCCAGAGGGATGTTTCCCCGACAAAACAGCTCCGCCGGAGCCCTAGATTGGTTCCGCCAAGGTTCCGCCTCGTGGCGGTGGTGTCTTGTCCCGAAAGCTTGCTTATGATTTTTTCCAGGGTAAAAGACTTCATATAGCAGAAGATGGGCACAAGAGGCCTGCCAGGGGGGCCACGAGGCAGGGGGCGCGCCTAGGGGGGGTAGGGCGCGCTCCCCACCCTCCTGGATGGTGGGTGGCCCCCCTCTGGTATTTTCTTCACTCGGTATTTTTTATTAATTCCAAAAATAACTTCCGTGGAGTTTCAGGACTTTTGGAGTTGTGCAGAATAGGTCTCTAATATTTGCTCCTCTTCCAGCCCAGAGTTCCAGCTGCCGGCATTCTCCCTCTTCGTGTAAACCTTGTAAAATAAGAGAGAAAAGGCATAAGTATTGTGACATAACGTGTAATAACAGCCCATTATGCAATAAATATCGATATAAAAGCATGATGCAAAATGGACGTATCACAGAGCAGCCACCGGGCAAAGCCGGTGCGAGTTGTCTATTTATAGTCGCAGCCTTCCTAGATGGGAAATGACCATTTTGGACACGGGGTCCAGCCAATGGCCAGCCGACACGTTCACAACGGTCGGATTTGGAGCAACGGTAACATTACTTGAGGAACAAGTAATGCTAATTCCTCGGTCAGGGACAAATCTCTCGCGACAACGAAGATCACGATCTCTTGCTGGCAAGTATTTGCTGGGAGCACAAAGAGATTTCTCTCACAACTTTCATAGGATTTGTGTTTAGCATCAGAGAATCAAAGCTTCGAATGCTACACCCCTCTTAATAGTACGGTGGTCCTATGACTCAATGAAAGAAGAAGAACAACGAAACAAATACTACGTCTTCGCTTCGTCTTCATTCTTCCTCGAGCGCAGTCATTTTCTTTGAACAGACACCGAACCAATTGCTTGATCTTCAGCAATTTTTAGGGCTCACTCTTGTTAGCTTCATCTTTGGTGATAACCTTCGCTGCAATGCAAGAAGATTATCTTCGTCATTTGCATCAAACTCCTCGACATCTCAGGGACCTGTTACTCTATGTGCACTAGCAAACACATAAGTCCCATACTATTTATGTCAACAAACTCCAAAACATAAGGGGCCTATCATTGCACCAACAATCTCCCCCTTTTTGGACGGCTGTTGACAAAATAGATAATCATCCAAGTGAAGATAGATAAATGAAATGTAAATCGAACAAGAGTGAACTTGTGTTACTTGACTCGATGATGAAATATGCTCCCCCTAGATGTATGCAGGGTTAAAGATATGAAATAAAATTCACTGCAATTCATTGACATATTCAGAGGATTTTTCAATCGTTCGAGGTAATGATCGCACTGATGATATGTAATCCGTCGAGTATATAGTGCAATCATTCATAGCTTCCGGTAATAATTCCACCTGCAAAACAAAATGCTTTGAGAGAAATAGTGCAGCAGGCGGGGTTAACAGTATTACATCACAAATCAGAAGTTTTACATTAGAGCACAGATAGTCTTTGAGGCATATAGCACAAAAGTCTCATAAACCAGAGCAAATAAACACAAAGACCAAATCCAATAGAGCAAATCTATCAAAACTCTCGATGTAATTCTTCCCCTTTTTGTCAACTAGTGTCAAAAAGGTGACGAATAACACGAGTGCAAATGAGGTGAACTTTATTCACTCTGAGGTATCGCCCGAAGAGCTGCCCGAAGATGTTTCTAATTCAGAAGTGGCTGGTACATCTTCATCGTTAGCAGCAACAGTAGAAGTTCATTCAAGACTGGCTTGGGGTTGGAAGGATGACGTCACATTGGGATCAGTATGTTGATTCTTGGGAGACAACATATTTCCTTCATCAGGTTTCTCCGTGGGCGATGTTGCTTCTCATTCGTCAAGCAATTTGCGCAGCTGAAACTGAAGTAAATCAGTTGTTGGCTCACGAGCTGGCAGTGGAGGAGTGAGACGATCTTTAAAGTCTTCAGCAGAGAACCCTTGATCAATATACTCATAGAGTTCTTTAAGATCTGAGTTGCTCAATTGCTTCTTAGAAGAACTTCCGAAGCAATTCCCATAGGCACCTTTTATTTTCAGCCGTGATCATGTGCACAACTTTTATTCGGTTGTTGATTACATTCAGTTCGGCAGCCATGTGTTCTTTCTCTCGGCGATCCTCAACCATATGCGGCAACAACAGCTGTTGAGTACGCAGGCTCACTTCTAGGTGTGAAGGAGGTTGAATATTTGGTTGTCGATCACGCTGAGGTAGCCGTGGCCCGACGAATGTATTATGATAATCAGGAGGGCTTGACACTGGTGCTTTCCCCGAAGAAAAATCTTCCATGACTCTTAGAGTATCACGCACAGGAGGAATGAAGCTTTTGTGACTGGCTTTGGCTAAATATTCGGTGTGCATTGCATAGTCAACCACTTTCTGAATCCATGGTGCAAATACTTTGGTAGTTTTTGGGTGCTGAGCAGAATCCATCAGTATGCGCAGGAACATGTCTTCGACATCAAAGATGTATCCTTGGGAGATGGCATGAATGGTGTTTCTAAGAACATCAGATATACAATTTTCTGTGTTCATTCCAGCCAGAGGACAGATGGTATAAGTGAGAATGTGATATAAGGTCTAATTGTCAAAGCTCAAGTGCTTAGGCAAGGGAGGACCAGTGTAATCATGAATTTTCTCTTGATCCATTGTGCACCGGAAATCCTCATCAGAAATTGCATCACTGTTGTGAACTCGAATTTCCGTCTTGGCATGTTCGAGCCGAGGGAAATGAAAATGAGAGATAAAGTCTATTGCAGAGCATATTATGCGTTTCCCTTCGGTCATCCATTCCATGATCCACTTGGTGCTACCAGATTCTTCACCGGAGATGTACAAGGTGGCATAGAATTGTAGAATTATCTCTCTGTTCCACGGATGCTGAAATGCAAAGACATGCGTGAGGCCAAAATCTTTGATGTCTTGCAAAACTTGATTAAAGCAGCCAATGTTCTTCATAGCAGCAAAATTCGGGAATTCATGAGGAAATATCTTTTGGTTGTCATAGAGGATCCAAAAATAATATGTAGCATGTTCTTGAGTTCAGAACCGAGGGGATTCAGACGTGCGAGGCTTGATGTATGGACTCTCTTAAAAGAAAACAAGATGAGTGTTCCGATTGAAAAGAGGCCCTTTGACGCCAAGGCCTGTGGAGAATAAAGGCAGTTGCTCGCAAGGATATGGATATTTGAGCTCATCTTCAACGGAAATCACTTCATCATCATAAAATGATAGAGTCGGAATGATGAGAGAAACTGACTTTGCTGCAGAAGGATCGACATCTGAATTTCTTCTCGCTATGTCGAGGGAAATACGCAATGGAGAGGGAGCAGACACTTTATCAGGCACTGAAACATTATCAGGCACTATGGCAGGTCGCGACACCGGCATCGACGGCGACATCCCGGTAGCGAGCATGCGCGAAGCACACATGGAATGTCAGCCAGATCTAGTAGATTGCTTCATATGATCACACATACAGGAGAATGTATGCTCGTGTATATGAGCGACTTCAATTGTACTGTGTTTTTCTTAAACATCCATTTCCTCTGTTAAAGGATTTCACTAAAATTTAGGACCCTCTTAGCCGACGAACATTCTCTAGTAGGGGGAGGGGGTGGGGGTGATATTTCAAACGATTTCGCTGACAATTTTAACCGTGAGGGAATGCTAATTTCTTCAAAACCACATTCAATAGGAGGAAATGACAAGAAGGTATTTTTCGTTTAGAATTGTCACCGTCTGATCTCGCGAAGCAACTGTGAGGAAACAACGTTAGCTTGTCAACCCCTTTCCGGCTGACATTCGTTAGATAACATTACCAAGAGATTTAAACAAGCAGTTTCACAAGTTTCCATCTGGGAGACGAGTACAATGGCTATCGTCCACAGGGCAGGATCAAAATTCGAGCAAACAAAGCTTTCGCTACAACGTTACAGAACAATAGTACGGTACAGATGTGATTATTGCTTTGCATCTCCCAAATGTGTGATCATGTGAAGCAATCCAGATCACATGGAAACTCTTGCCACTCTAGTAAGTACAGTAGTTTCCTAGATCAAATCCATGGCAGCACTACTACTCGCCTCCCTCCACCCGGCGAGGAGGAACTCTGCTCCACTTCCGGATCCTCGCGCCCAAGCCCTTCATCTCCTCCACCTGCAGATGCAGAAACAGAGACGCGCGGTGTAAAATTTGCCGCGTCCAGATCGAGAATCCGTCGCACGGATGCGAGGTGTTTTGGCTCCGGCGACTTACCGATCCGACGCCCGCCGCGGACACTCCGGCGGTGACGGTCGTGGCGCCGGCGCCGACGAAGAGCGAGGCGACGGCGAACGCTCTGAACGGCATCGTCATGTCGCTGCCGCCCTTGCCTCGCCGGAACCAAACCAGCGCGCCGGTGATCTGCGCTGCACTCGCTCCAAGCCACCAGGGCCATGCCTTGCCCTTCTTCCCGGCGCCTGCACCCAGCTCATCCATCGCCGCCGCCGCCGCCGCCGCCGCTAGGTTATGTGGGGGACACCACAGCTCTGTGGGAGTTGCAAAGTATGCACACACTGAAACGCACAATGCTCACCGACATGTGGGGCCCTTGGTAGGCCGTGTCATGTCCATCCACTGACATGTGGGACCCGTTGCCAGTTCACCTCCAGCATAACGGGGTAGGTTCTTCTCTCCCACCTCTCAGTGATCACCAGTAGTACTGCCATTCCCCAATCCGCCTCAACCGCCTCCCCAGCTTCCATGGCTCGGAGCAACCCGGGGCTTCTCCTGGGGCTCCTGCTGCTGCGGCTCAATTGGTGCTTGGTGAGTCGTTGATCCGATCCGATCCAATTTTTGCACAGGTCGATTTTGTTCGTGTTATCGTTGATGGAGTCGCTGCGATTGGGGAATTTTAACCCAGGCCGTGGATGGCGGAGGCGCGGAGGAAGGGGGCGGCGTGTTTCCGGTGGTGGTGAGCACCTGGCCGTTCCGGGAGGCGGTCAGGGCGGCGTGGGACGTGGTGAAAACCGGCGGCGCAGGGGGGTCGGCTGTGGATGCCGTCGTCGCTGGCTGCTCCGCCTGCGAGGAGCTCCGCTGCGATGGCACAGGTCAGTTGCTTGCTGCCGTCCTTCTCTGTACAATTCGTCCATGTGTGCCTGCGATGGGGATTGGTTGTGGCTTGTGGCATGCTATCATTTCAATTTTAGTGGGAGCACTGGGGTGAATGGCGACGATAAATGAATTATGCTGGTGCAGTGGTCAAACTAGAGTGGAAGTACCTGCTAAAACCGATATTTAACCGAAGTTACAAAATTATTTCATTCCCGGGAGGTTGATTGATATGATATTTTTCCGGTGGCAACTCCCAGAGGCTTGCTTACACAGAAACCAGGGATTTTGACCAATTATTCTGTAAGCAAGCCTATATATGGGCTTGCATACAAGAAAAATCTCTGATGAACATACTTGCAGGTACCAGACAGCAAAATGACATGACATCACAGAAAAAAATTCAATAGCTCAAATAGGATTTTATTCGGTGTTTTAATACTTTTTTTATGGTGAGAACCTTAAGCCTTACTACTGGATTTTGCAAGCCTACTTAAAACAATTCTGGAAGAAACTTAATCCTTTAAATTTGTCCATAACATGTATTATCAGGAGTGCTATTTTACACTATATTTAAAATCAAGTGTACTCTTTATTGATGTATTGCCCTGGAGATCAGTACTCTCGGAGCTTAATTTAACTATGAGAAAATTCTGATGGATATCAAGACTTAAGTCTCAATAATCAAAAGATCAAAAACATTGGTCACGCCAGCTTGCCCACTCAACCTATTTACAAACGTTACCAATTCACTCATTTATTTATCTCTACCTAACATCGTGAAAAACTGAAGACAATGGTAAGTGTAGTTGCGGTTATGCCGCGGATAAATATTAGCAATGAAATGATACTTTGTTCTGAAAGTACTCGCCTGTTGTTCCAATTACCTTGTGTTTGAATCCATTAATATTCTCTGTGCACTAAAGATATAGCAGAACCCCATGATTTTGTGTTTGCAACTTGTTTAGATTCACAACTTGCCTATTTTTGGTGTGTATCCTGAATCAACCATAGCACTGCTTTTAACTGGTTTATAACTTTATGCAGTTGGTCCAGGTGGAAGTCCAGATGAGAAGGGTGAAACTACCTTAGATGCTCTTATCATGAATGGGGTAAAAGCTGCTTTAACCACTCAAGCTACAGTATATGCTGATGTTTATGTTACGGCATTTATGGTGGATGTAATAGGGCATTCTTTTTGCTTAAGAAAACTGGCAGAAAACAATGGAAATTGGAGCTGTGGCTGCCATGAGATATGTGAAGGATGCAATTATGGCAGCAAAGTTGGTCATGGAGCACACTGGGCATACTCTTCTTGTTGGAGAGAAGGCAACATCCTTTGCAATTTCAATGGGTCTTGCAGGACCAACTAACCTGAGTTCACCAGAGTCAATTGAGAAATGGTCAAATTGGAGACAGAATAATTGCCAACCTAACTTTTGGAAAAATGTTGCTCCTGCTGGCAACTGTGGTCCATACCATCCTATAAATATACCTAAGGACCCTGTTAAAAGTGCTGTATGGGAGAATCAAGGAATCACCTGTCAGGAATGGCTCCAAAATGATAATTTACTAGAACCGACAAGCTCCCATTTCAACTCTGTTAATCGTCACAACCATGACACAATCTCTATGGCCGTCATTGACAAGGTACCTAGCGCGTTTAAAGGAAAGTCACTCTCTATTAATATGAAACTAAACAATGTGCTTTTGTTAAGATGGGTCATGTAGCAGTTGGCACATCAACTAATGGTGCCACGTTCAAAATTCCAGGAAGGTAAGCATCTTGCTTCTGTTAGGAATTTTGAAATATTGACATTACAATTTAGTTGGCCACTTGTTTTTTGCTAAATCAGTGATCTGTCTATCGAATGCATCTGCAATAATGTATGAACGACTGCTGTAATTGTTTTTTGAGGGAAACGACTGCAGTAATTCTTTTTTTGAGGGAAACGACTGCAGTATTTAGTTGGCCTTGTACACCACTGCCGAATCCTCTTGTACTATTGATACTATGCGCTGGTATATTTGCAAAGTCACTAATGTGTGGCGAGTCTTGATGATGTTGTTACTTTCTTTATGGCTGGATAAAAGCTAACAAAATAGATGGTGCATAGTTAGAGGTTACATAACCTCATTAATAGTGGGACTAATATGTCTTAGTATATAGGTTTACAATATTTATCCTAACTGAATTATGACAGACATATTTTTGGTTTGTTCAACTTATATTTACGTAGGAATACTACTCGAAGCTTCCTTTTGATATGTATATCAACTTCTGAAATACTCTGGTATTGTATATCGACTTCTGAAATACTCTGGTATTGTATATCAACTTCTGAAATAGTCTGTATATTTGACAACATAATGACGTTGGTGTCATGCCACAGTTTTCCCTTTTTCGATGTTGTTAAGTGGAACAGCTATTTACCTCTTGATAGGTAGTACTGACTAATCATTTGCTTCCAGGGTAGGTGATGGACCAATACCAGGATCTTCTGCATATGGTGATGATGAAGTTGGGGCTTGTGGAGCTACTGGTGACGGTGATATTATGATGCGCTTCCTTCCATGGTAATTGAGAAATGATTTTGTTAGAAATTTTGTTGTTCTTCTTTCCCACAAACAATATTTTTTCTTGTTTTGACCCCTGCCTTATCAATTATAACCTCATAACTTCATTAGTCACTAGCAAGCTGTTATTTTCTCTGAACTCGCTTTAATCATGCACCTTCCCCCTCTGTGGTCTTAGTTGGAAGTTACTTCCTAGGATATGATGGTATTCAGCCATGTCCATATTCTAATTTGGTTCAAAGGCTGAGTATTGTAATATGAATTTTAGCTTATGTTAATTTTTTATTAGTAGCCCAAGTTAAGCAATGGTCCCATGAACTGTGATGTTTTTTTTTTAACATTTCTGTGATGTTATTGCAGTTATCAAGTGGTGGAGAGCATGCGACTTGGAATGGAGCCTCGAGATGCTGCCGTGGATGCGATATCCAGAATTGCTCGTAAGTACCCAGATTTTGTTGGTGCTGTATTTGCGCTTAACAAGAAAGGAGTGCATGCTGGGGCGTGCCATGGATGGACCTTTCAGTATTCTGTCAGGAATTCCAGCATGCAGGATGTGGAGGTCATCACAGTAACACCTTAACATAGGCAGATCATTATTAAAACAAAAGGCTGATTCGCCAATAAGGTGTATTCCTTTATGTCAAGTTCTCTGCATTCACTCCCATGGTAATGCAACAATATCATGTGGGGCTTGTTCTCGAGTCTTATATTGGACTGCAGTTTTCTATTGAAACTGCCATGTTATATAATGGTAGTAGATTCATTGAATGCATTGTAGACTTCTCGAGAAAAGGCTGGAATTGCACACAGTCAACTTTTGTCTTGCAACTACGAGTTTAATGTATTACTAGCCAGGTGTGCTTCTTTAAGCCATCTTCAGAGTTTTTGTGCGGAATAGGTCATCTTCAGAGCTGGTAAGGGCATATAATATTTCACGTACGCTTTGTCAGCCTTGAAGATTCCCAGAGAACCCCCTCCTTTGTTGTTGTTTTTGCATTTGGTTTATTTCGCACGTTTGCTCCTTCATCAACCTAAGTTTGTTGGCAGTATCGAGTTGACACCCATTTCTTATTCCTCTATGGACATAAATATGTTGTCTTGTTAATTTTATCAATCATTGTGTCTTGCATATTTATGGCCATAATGCAAGGTTGGCAGCATTGCTGAGGAAAAGGTTATCTTGATGAAGGTCGTATTAGGCAGCAAAGATTGTTAGTATTTATTATCTGAATATGCTTTTGGTGTCAAGGATGCTGTGTTTTTGGCTTGAAGACCTCGGGTTATTGCGATCTTGTTTGCAGGAGATGAAACCTCGGGTTATTGCGATCTTGTTTGCAGGAGATGAAACCTCGGGTTATTGCGATCTTGTTTGCAGGAGATGAATGCGTGTTGCTTGGAGAAGTCGGGTTGCGATCATGTTTGTACGAAATGAATGTGTACAACCCGTTTCGAAAAGAAAAAAAATGTGTACAACCCACCAGGACAGGAAAGAAACTTGGATAATAAACTCATAATTGAGAGTTGGGCTTGCTGTTTCACTAAATGCATTTGTTAGAAAATCGGCTCCCAGTAGTACCATTGTTTGCGTAATGGTACCTGGCTCGTTACCGTGTCCCCTGAACTTCCGAGGGGCCATCCACACCCCAGGGGCGCTGCGGATCGCCTCCATTCCGTTTTCCGGGGAACAACTGGAATAATGGTACTGTTGTTGATGGCTTATCCGGCGAGAGGTCCCCGTCTACGTTACGGGACACATGGATCAAACACGGCACATACACACAAATCACCGAACATGCCGATCAATATGAACGGGGTGACCGGTCCTGTTTCTTTAAGCTGGGTGAGGATGACCCTAGTCATCGGTTACACGTCATGGTTCATTGAGGCATCAAGTGGACTTTGAAAATACAAGATTTCTACTTTTAACAAGTCGTTTGTGAAAATAGCTATTCCCAAGATGATCAAGTTTTTCTTTTTTTGCAGAGGAAAAAAGTGTTATTACTCAGGAATCAAGTTATATACAAGCTCCAAATTGTGTAACAATTCTTTGTTGGCATTATATATGGAAAGCCAATGGCCGACTACGAAATAAACACTCTGGAAAATAACTTCGCTAAACTATATATAGGTTTTTTTTTAGACAAGCTAAACTATATATAGGTGTCACAAGGAGATTAATAGCCTGACAGCTCCCCACGGTCTTATTAGTCGTGAAAGATAAAGATTTCTCTAGCTGCCCCGTCCGTCGTGTAACATGGGACTCGCAAGTCGCCAGCAATGATAAGTTCAAAACGCACTGAGAACAATAATTACAAAAAAAAAAACGCACTGACAACAATCATTAGAGCCAGGGGATGTAAATTAAGCGCCACCGTACGTACGCCAATGAGCAACAGGGTAGAGATAAGAGAGCGTTTTCTTCGCCAAAAAGAAGGCTATATATGCAAGCAACCCCCCAACTGCAACTCCACAAGGCAAAGCAACAGCACTTACCCAAGCAACGAAGAAAGCTACCTCGCCCGTGAAGTAGGGAGCACACGGCGACCCAGTTGCTATCTTGCTCCGTGGAGAAGGGAAAGGGAGGGAAGCTTGCAAAGGCACAGCAACTGCCGAGAAACCTGGGCGGGAAGAGATCAGCAAGCGAGAAGCGAGAGCGTGGAGCTAGTTGAGCAGCCATGCTGATACTGGAGCTGGGGGCGTGCATCATCCCAATGACGCTCATCTTCGTGCCGCTCCGGCGGCTGGTCCTGCTGGTGGCCAAGCTGCAGGAGCTGGAGGAATGCTTCATGCGCCCCAGGCCGCCGCCCCCGCACATGTCCGCCGAGATGTACGGCCACATGTCCACCCTGCACACCATGGCCATCATGGTGTGAAGGAAGGAGGTTCGGCCGGGCCTTCGCCCTTCGTCGTGCGGTGCGCGCTTGCTCTGCTGCCTGAGGAGGCGCGCCAAGGTGGGGAGATTCGCCCTCTGTAAGGTTGGAGTTTTCTTATAGGATTACAGATTCCCAATCATTGTACCTAGATCGTCCCTCTGTGAATACCTCTTCTCCTTCTTGCCATTGTCATTGCCTGTTCAGGCATATCTTTGCAGTCTTGCTGTCAGAAAAGAAAGAACAAATACTAAGCACAGTGGTTTAGGCATTGTGTGCTTTCAATCTGTATCCGACATGTGTTTCCAGGCGCATGATGAGCTGCACCAAGCCTGCGGGCAAACATTCTTTACTGAATTACTGTGAAAATTGAATGAAGTGTAATTTTTTTCCACTACCAGATATATGTGTTTTTATATCTGAAACTTGGTTTTGGCTACCGAATCCCCCAAAAAAAACCCGGGAGAGGCTAGAAACGCGGTTACCAGAAAATACCGTTACAATGCCGCTCAAAATTTACAAATGAATTTCAAACTCAAATTTATCTGAGCTAGTTATATATTTGTATTATACTCATATTAGACAAAAGATCGCTCAGAACTTTCCTTGCGAGTTTCCTTAGCCAATTAAAGTATTTCAAATTCAAAATTTGAAAATGGGGGTAGTCCTATGTCGCTGTGGTTGGTCAGGTCATCTCCAACGCCGGCCCCAAAACGGACATACATTTGTCCGCGGAAGCGTCCGGACGCATCTGCGGATGGTGATACAGGAGCTGGCCCTCCAATTCTCACCGTAAACGTCGGCCACAATACAAACAAATTTGGACATAATTCATGCAAACACGACAGAATTCATTCAAATGGAATTAAATTTGATATATTTTATATAAACTAGACGATATTTCGTTTGTTCAACTAATAAAACCTAAAACTAGCTTGTAGCGGACAGTGACTGGTCGGCGGCACCTTCGTCATTTTCTATGTCGCCG